AGCTAGTCAGGACTGCAATTATTTATGCATGATCACAGATCTTAGGGTTCATGGCCACTGTTCCTAGTTCTGACAGGACAGACAATGTAGCAGATAAAACATTTCTGGGCCAAAAAATCATGAAGTTTTTGTTTTAAGTATAAAGTTTGTATCTGTTTATGTACTATCTTTGCTAAAGTGAAAATTCCTCCATGCCAACAGCCATGCCTTGGTCATTTTCCTAAAGTCCATAATTGTACTCTGCATTTAAGAATGGTTCAATACATGTCTATTCACTAAAAATAGGAATAAATAAATTATTTTGGATTATCTATGTCTTCTCTCCCTCCACCAAAAAAAAAAAAAAAAAAAAAAACTCCTCAATTCTGGGGCATAAATGCCCTCTTGGTAATGCCTATATTCTGCTGAACTTTTTCTCTTCAAGTAAACAGATAGAAACAAAAATGAGTTTTTGAATGATTCCACTTATTTGTATACTCTACTCACATCAGATAAACCTTCATTTCATTCATTTTCTCTAAATTTATGCATTACTAAACAAAAATAACAATATAGATTTTATAATTCTCACTTTGATCTTGGTGATTTTTCCAATTGTCTGTTTATTTTGATGGATGGCATTCCTGCCACTGCTTTTACATGTCGATGCTACTTGCTTCTATCTATTATTTGTCATATTCTCACTTTCCAACTTTTGTAACAAATCTTTTCATATCTGTTTTAGGCAGAAAGCTCCCCTTTCAGATACATTTCTTCTTCCTTAATCCACATCATCATAAATATAATTGTGTGTTACCATCCTCTGGAATTGCTTTGACAGTACATAGCCTTTGGTGTCCTGACTACTTTTCTATGATAGTTAAGACTGCGCCTATTTCTAGAGTTTCAGTATAGTGTGTTTGGAATTGATGCTGTGGTAGGTCGTAAAGTGATTGACAAATGAGGAAGGAAAAAAGTAGTTGTGAACAACTCAGTCTTGTACATTAAATGCAGGGTAAAGATAAGTCAATATTTGGAGATAATGGCAAGATCAAGTGATAACTTTTAAAAGTATAGATTAGACATGAGCATATTGGAACAATAATGGAAATATCAGAGATGCATTGCATATGGATGTATAAATTGAGGGGTGTGGAGAGATCATGGTCATTGTGCTGTCAAGTCTTAGCAGGATGCTATTACATTCCGAATCTATATTCCAGGAAGTCAGCAGAAGTACATATTGGTCCTGTTGTCATGGGGATACAAACCAAACCTGTTTATGTAATTTTTCATCCTGGGATTTGTGACATAGAAAGATAATGAATGGTCAGGTGTGGTGGCTCATGCCTGTAATCCCAGCACTTTGGGAGACCGAGGTGGGCAGATCACCTGAGGTCAGGAGTAGAGATCAGCCTGACCAACATGGCGAAACCCCATCTCTATTAAAAATAAAAAAATTAACCAGGCATGGTGGTGGGTGCCTGTAATCCCAGCTACTAGGGAGACTGAGGCAGGAGTATCACTTGAACCAGGAGGCGGAGGTTGCAGTGAGCCGAGATTGTGCCACTGCACTCCATCCTGGGTGACAGAGTGAGATTCTGTTTAAAAAACAAAAAAAAAAGTCAATGAACAAAAATACAAAGAAATAGATAGAATGACTCTAAAACCAGATCCCCAAGTAAGCTAGAAGGAATGCTTCCTCTGTTAAGTGAGCTTCCCTAAATTCAACTGTGACCTTCAGGTAAACTTGGCTTATATTACGCTTTATTTTTCCTGAATAGTACTTACAAATGGAATTTGAATGCTTAACATGGAAGAGTAAATGCTCACTGATTCATTTAAGTCTACACTACTCCTTTTTATCTTCTGCCCATACACTGATAGACATTTCAGTTTGGAAATCTTACTCCTACATTATAAGCAATAATAATATGAACAAGAACCGTAAACCCTGGTAAGAATAGAATGAATTTTTCACAAGATATATAAAAACTTGAAATCTCCTATTAGTACCACAGCTTTTTCTATCCTACTTTTGTAATTTGAGTGAACTAACCATTTGAAAAGGATATCATAAGAGATTTTTAAAATAAAATAATTTTGCTTGGTTTCTGTTAGGTTTATTCAGTTGCTTTTCAACACATTGCTTCCTTTGAGTTTTGGGTTTTCATATTGATATTATCTATGCTAGTAACACATTAGTAAGAACAGACAATATACATATTGAGTTTGATTCTTCATGGGTAGGGGTTATCCATACAATCACATTGACTGATCATTCCTATCTGAAGTTTATGTTATTACCCTAGCATTTCAAATTATTATATACAACAAATAAGATATCCTCTCCAAATATTTTCCTTTGTGAATGACTACAAACATCTCCTTTGCTGTTCATCATTTCTGATAGAACCAAGGAAAAATTTTCATAGTTTTATTTACACAGCTTTCCTTTTCCACACCATATTTCTTTTATAGGCATGTAGTATAGCTGCTTTCAAGTTAAGTCATGTGTCTCTGCTCTTTTGAGTTAAACCTTTTAAGAGTTATAAATCTTAGCACATGGTTCAGAATTTCAAAATTGGTACTTTGACATCACTATCTCTTTGCCTTAATAATTTCCCTGGCATACTATTGTATTTTATAGTTCTGTTTTCACTGGTAGAAGAAAGAACATTGACAATGCTCCTGTGTTTTAGAATTTTTCAGATCAAGACATTAACATCATAATCATTGGAGATGTTTCCCTAGGTTCCTCAGATGCATGAAGAAGCAGTACTAGGTTGTAGTCCCTGGGTCTGAAAAACGTGTATGGTCTTTCCATCAGAACTTGGATACCTCTTCTAGGACCAAAGCAGACCTAAAATTCATAGCCCGTAACTGAAGTATCAATGGGGCCCATGTATCATTTCCTTTGGTGCAAATATGGTTTTCTGGAACCTGTTTATACCTGTTTTATTTTTATTTTTTCAGTCTTATTTTCAATAAAGACTTTGTTCCTTTTTTCTGGAAGCTTTGATTCCCCATTTATGTAGCTTCTACCTAGCCTCATAGGTATAGCATTTTGCTCCTGTCTTCCTCATCCACATTGTAGTCCTTAACATGCTGCTGATTCTGGCTTTGTTTAAACTCTACCTCTGCTGTTCTATGAAATAAAGCAACATTACTCAGAGCTCAGAAACCTTTCCAGGTGTAAACTGTGACCTGAATTAACTATTGCTAGTTTCTGACTTTGGTGGGGTTGATAAGAATGTAATCATAATTGAGTTAATTCTTATCTGCTCTGACCTAAAACACACAGTCACTGAAAATGAGTAATAAAGGCTAAGTTTTTCGAAGGTTCTATATTTTTCTAGACTTAAACTTATATCTTGCATACCTTGATTTTGACAGAATATTGTTAGTGAAATTTCTAATGATTTAGGAATTTCTCATCAAAGTTAAATATGAAATAACAACAAAAAATTTTAAGTGATAAGGGCAATTAAATACATTTTAAAAGTAAAGTGTGAATTATGGTAACTAAGATGAATATATGTTGAAATATAAATAAATATGATTATGATGTTAGCAAAATTAATACTCAAAAATAATTAACCACCCACACTATAGTGACACTGTAATATATTGGGTATGACAGATCATTTGGTAAGACAACCACGAGTTGTCAAATAAGATAAAACAAATTTTAAAATAATGTCTGGCATGTATATTTTAAATAAAAAATAATCTGTGTCTCTCTTTTTTCCTCATACAATAATATTATATATAGCCTAAAGAGTTCCTCTACTGAGAAAGAGGAATACAAAAAGATTTAATTCCTTTGTTGGGGAACATATAATCACACACTGCCCGCACATTAGTTTCCTGTAGCTTCTGATGCTTTGTGTGGGTTTCACACTGTGGAAGCCAGGAAAGGCATTTTTGGATACTGTAGTCATAAGTCTGCAAACATGAATATCGTAATCAGAAATTCTTTTGGTGGTAGGGCAGAAAACTAAGTCTTGGAGTTGGGTATTCCTTGCAAATAATTATTCCTCTATTTGAGAAACCAGAGGATGTACTAAGAAATTTGGGTCATTCCATTCAACACTTACCACGTAGGTAGGAGTTTATTTCTTTCCCAATAATATAACTCTAAAAATTAATACATAGAAAGACAACTCCCAAAAAGCAAAGTATATATATAATCATTTCAGAAATATCACATATTCTTCAGACAATTATGTAAGTATGTATCATGTATGTATATCTGCTTATTTCTAAATATATATTTAAGTAGGACCATTTCAAATGTACTGATCTATATTTTTATTCTATCAGTCACTGATAATAACTAATTATAACACAATATCTATTGCCCTATTATTTTCCCCACACTCGTCCCTCAACTATACACCATAGAGTTTATTAGGGTGAAGGTATGATAGTTTTAAGCAAACAAAAAAAAATCATGTTCTTCACATTTTATGTAACACATATAAAGCTTTATTCTAACTTTTAAAATATTCTTTTTAATTGTTTGGAGGCTTACCAATTTTTTCAACAGAAAAACCTTTAAATCTACATCGCTAAGCTTTTACACACATTCATGCTCTAAGTGGCAGTATACTCAATGGTTTTAAGCTGATTTTGAAACATTGGCACCATGATGAATATCACAGTTATGCGATTTATGAAGACATTATTTACTCATTAATAAAATAACGTTTATAGCAATAACATTTACTTTGTAGGTAGCTGTGCCTGTCACAAGAGTTAGCATTAAATAAATATTAGCTATTGTTATAAACAGATAAACAAAAGAACTGAAAAGTTCACAATACTCTTTCACTGTAAGTTTTATCAAGCATTATTCAGCTAAATTGAACATTCAAAGCTGATCAAAATATAAATTTTGTCAGGTAGAAAAGAGAAGAAATGAAAAGAAGAGCAATGAAATGAAATGAAAGATAGACGAGCATTCTGACGTGACTAAAATGAGCGGCAGTGGAAAGTCTTAGCAAATGCATACTTACGGAGCTGCCCAAGTCGAGCTTTTTCTTTTTTACCAAACAAACGTCCTATTGAAGACTTGATTCCTTTCTTCTTGGGGGCTTTGTGAAGAGAATCTTGGCTGCTGTTGGCACTACCAAGTCCAAGGCTTTCTGGCTCAAGAGAAACAGATAAACTACTGCAAAACACAAAAGAGGAAAATACTGCTCATTTTCGTGCAACATCCACAAGGTACACAAAAGTTGTTTCCTTTATAAATGCACCAAAAGAGGAACAAGTAGACTTGTAATGTCATTTTCCCCCCTATCTTCCCATGTTTCCTTTTAAGATATTAAGTGCAGTTTTTTTTTCAGCCTTGGGCCCTGAACCTCCAAATTTCCATAAGAGAAATGTACTTTTGTTCCAAATGGCTTTTTTTCTTACTTTTTTGATATCATCTCAAACTAATCAGTGAATATAGGCTGATTTATTAATTGCCTGATAAATGGCCTTCTATTATAGAGTACTTGATCCATTATCTATTTATTTCTCAGAGTTTGTTTTTCTAATCTTAAACATAATGACCTACAGCAAGGAACTGAAATATAACTAATTGTGAAGTTGAAGCTGCTCTTCCAATCTACAGTTTTACTTGATTTTCCTCTAAATTCAGTTAATTTAAAATAATCTGGCTGCAATCTGGAAGCAACAAACCATGTACCCTCGTGATCAATGTATATGTTTTCTTAATTAGAGTTCTCAAATATTATTTTAAATACATGTTAAACTGAAATGCTCTTCAAGTAGTTGGTTAAGTTTCAATTTCTGGTCAATATATTTGACATTGTATTAATAGGAGGGGATCAATAGACATTGCTATTAGTTTCTACTGTTGTTAATTTTATAACACCATGATAAATTACTTACTTTTACTTATTCATGCCAATTAATTTGAACTCACATTCCCTAACTTTCAAAGCAATAACTTTTTATATGCTGAAATATACTCTGTTTTTGGAGAGTGAAAGAAGTAATATTTTGAAGCTGAAGTAACTGATTTTTCCACATTAACAATAAAAAATAATCAGAAAAAAGAAATGACTGCCAACACAGAAAGCCCTACTTTTAAAAGCATTTATTGTAAAACATACTATCTAGAAGAGAGTTCTTTTATTGAAGTATTAATCCTTAAGTCATTATATTTGGTTACATCAATTATGTGTCTACAGATGCTGCAACTGATGAGACAATAGGAGAAGATACATTTCAGATATAAACTACATGCTTCGGTATATTCATATCATCAGTGATTATAGAGATCTGTTTGTAATGTTCTATGCATATGGATAAGACAGTATAAAGACTTGTGAGGACAAATGACATATTTCTCCATCTAGACTTATCTTTTTCTTTAATACTTTAGTCAAGGACTTTTTTCCTTTCTAATAACTTTCTGACTGAGGAGTTATTATTGCTGGCAGCAGCAGTACCTGCAGGGTGCACATACCTGTCTGCTAAAGGCATAATCATAAACTTTTCAGACTTTAATTACACTTATACTGTAATCCAAATTTATGATCTTGTCCTAGAGTCTCCTTAGTTTTTTGTTAATATTTCTAGTAAGTCCTTCCTCTAGCCTGATCTCATTTTAATAGAAAATATCCACTAAAAATTAGAAGAGCTATTCTTATCTATTTTGACTAATAAGCCCACAAAGATACAGTTCATTTTAAAAACACAAATTCGATATCAAAATTGAAATGTGGTTATTTCACAAGCGATACCGGGAAAAGGAAGTTGGAGAATTCTGGCTCAATGTAAATCGTTAAGCAGTCTATTTGACAACAATGAAGCAAGAGGAATATTTTTGGAAGGAGGGCATTCAGTGTGCAGTGTGCCTGCAGCCTCTTACCTTCGAGCATCATTGTGGTAGGAGGAAGGGAGAGTGTGAGTCATTCTGATGGCTCTAGGGGTAGGAGGAGGAGAAGTTTCACATTTAATTGTTGCTTTGTCCTCTCGACCATCTTCTTCCACAACTGCAATCTAGAAGCAAAAACAATACATTCAAATAAACCCTTTCTAAATTTCAGTTGAAATTGATACAAATGGAGAATCATGAGAGCAAGGCTACTGAGTAATTTTAATACAAAATAAAACAACAAAACTTGGGGCATATAAGTCTTACATGTATAAATTCCCATTAAAGAGTTTGATTTTCACAGATATTTAAAGTGGACACATTAAAATTTAAAAAAAATCATAGACCCACTACACAAAAATGTTTCATTAATAAACACCATAGATCAAGCTTTTCCAACCCACAGCCTGCTGGACACACATAGCCCAAGACGGCTTTGAATGTAGCCCAACACAAATTCTTAAACTGTCTTAAAACGATTTATGCACCGACCATTTTTTTTGAAGTTCATTAGCTATCATTAGTGTTAAAGTATTTTATGTGTGACTCAAGACAATTCTTCTTCTAATGAATGTAGCCCAGGGAAGCCAAAGATTAGACACCCCTGCCATAAATCAACTAGATGCTGACTATTGATCTATAGTGTTTATTGACATTGATCTATGATATTGAAACTAGGCCTCATAAAACTTAAAAAATTAGCACCAGGTGGCTCTGGATAGGGTCCCACCCTGCCTCGATAGGGTCCCACTCTGATAGGGTCCCACCCTGCCAATTCCGGGAAACAACCTCATGGGGTCCCACCCTGCCAATTCCGGGGGTCCCACCCTGCCTCGAAGTTCCCGGAATCAACAACTCCAGGAAAGAACCTCATAAAGTCCTGCTCTAACCAATTAGAACAAGACACCTTGCTCAGGCCATAGCTAGACCCAATCATTTTGCGCCTTAAGCTTTGTTTGAATTTCGCGCCATAAGCTGTGTTTGAACTTGTGTTTGCCTATATAAACAGCATGTAACAAGCAGTCGGGGTCCCAGGGCCAACTTAGAACTTAGGACCCTAGCGCGCTAGTAATAAATAACTCTCTGCTGTGAGTCTCGTGTCGGTGATCCTTCGCGGCGACCCCTGCCCGGGAGGGAATCGAGAGTTCGGTTCCAACAATATTTTATAATATCAGAATATAAACTCTTTACAAAAATGTATTAAACACACATTTGAACAATTCACTAAAATATAGGATTATACATACTCAGGTTATCATGATAAAGATATCTTTTAAGCAGGGATTTTTGAAATGAGAAGTTGATAAAATATAACTTTATCAGATAAAGTGCTTTACATCAGTCAATGAAATGACTGATGAAATTTATTACAGGGTGTTTAAAATATGAGTTGTGGTTTGTAAGAAAAAAACTCTTTTTAAAGTGGGAATAATAAAAGGTAAGATGATAATATTTTCAAATTGTTTCATTTTACTACCATGATGGAAAAACTGGCAAAGACATACAGAAAACCAAAAGAAGATGAGATGGGAGCGATTTCCTTAAATAACAATTTAGTACAGAATTCAGAACAACTCAGGATACTACCCGTCTTGTCAGAGATCAAGATATAGAGCTGTAACTTAAAATTTGTTTCCAATGTAAAGTTAATTGTAGAGAAGTAGTTTTTACAACAATGCTGCATATTTTTCATGGCATCGTTGTGTAACACAATATGGAGAGATCAGGATTGTAGAAAACACAGCTAAAGACTTATGGCTTTGAGAGTTCTGACGAAAAAAGTTCTAAGTATGGCTAAACAAAAATTTTTAAAGTTCTGGGGAAATATTTTGTTTGTTTTTATGTAAAGCTATTATGCATAAATGTGTTTATCTATGATAAAGACCTCATACCTTCGAGGAACTTCATGAAATTATCAGGACTTTTGTCACCCAATCCTAGGTTCCTTTTAACAGCTTAGGTAGGTAGCCATTTTTATATAATTCCTTTGTTCTATTCAACTAGCATATTGCCATCAGGAGAATCTTTTTCAATAACTGCTTTCGGCTTGATTCTGATGCTATGGAAAACCTTTTCAAACCCACACCCCAGCTAAACTCTTAAGCGTGTTTCTGAACTATTCCTAATACAAGTTAGTGTTTTCACAGTTCTGTGATCCCACCACGACCTTCTCTGATTGTTTCTGCTAAGCATGGCCATTTTTGCTGTCAGAATTTTGCTTCTGAAACACCTTATAAAATACCTTCTTTGTCCTCCCTGCCAGCCAAACTATACTTATTCCCAATAACAGCTTTTAAAAACATCATATACAAAACTTTCCTCTGAATGTCACTTAGAGTTTTGTTCTCAGAGAGGGATTTGAATTCTGATTTCTCTTAAATGTTGAATAAATAGGCTGATTACTTTTCTGCTCTAATATTAAATTTCCTCATCAATAAAATGGAAGTGATATAACACTTTTCTTAAGGTGTTCTTTTGAAGTGTAAATACCAGCATGTATTTACACTTCTTCCCCTGATACACAAGGTTTTTTAGTTTGTGGTCCTTCTTTCCGTGACTTTTTTCACAAATTACGTTGTTAATTCCTGAATTATTTGAGACTACATTTTCGTATAGAACCTTGCATCCTACCTTCCTATTTCTAACACCCATTAAACTTTTATAGTCCTTTTAAGGTGATGGAGGTCAAAGAAAATAAAGACGTTATCCTTGGTAAACTTGGTAAATAAGAATGAACTGGTATTGTTAAGGAGAAGAGGCTATAGGAAGACAGATAATAGCCCAGGAAAAGAAAATGCTAATTCCATCTATTCAAGCCATGTAAGTATAATATAGATTCCCTTATTACCATTTTTTAAAGGAAATAAAAGTTGTCTGGTTCCAGGAGTATTTCAATGTTTGGGTGCAGGCTGACTACCACATCTTGAAGATGCTGAAGAATAGATTTTTGCACTGCATTGTAGTTTGAATCTTTGAAATCTTTCTCATCTGATGTCCCATGAGTGCAAGCTCTACTCAATTGTCTAATAAGAAGTCATTTTGTGATTCAGAACTTCAGTTCATTTTGTTTCCCATATCCCATATTTATTCTCTTGATTTCATTCCAAACAGAACAGCAGTGTTTCAACCATATATATATTTTTTATTTTGCATATACTTGATGCTCTGGCATCTGGAGAGGATGCTCCTCTATCCCTAGGGATAGTTAATTCCTGGAAATAGCACACCACTTGCCTATAAGTACACTTTTCATATGCAAACCAAAGAACTCACAGCCCACACTCTAAATCATCTTCTCCATCTGGCTCTTACTCTCCAAGAGGCAATATTCCTTTGCCCTAATTACCTGTGGGCCAGACTGAGACAACTAGAGAGAGTCCCTACACCTTGGGGCCAGACAAAATTAATCAAGCTACCCATCCTAAACCTGCTTACCCTGCCTTGTCTTGCCTTTCCCTAAGAGACCTCAGAAAGCCTTCTGCCCTGCGCCTTCTGCCTCCTGACTGACCCTGGTGCTGTCCTGAGGCACAGAGTACTCTCTCTTTTTGGGAACTGTGAGTAACAAACTACCTTTTTTTGACAGCTGTCTCCTGATCTGTTGTCCTCATCCTATCAACACAATAATAATAAAATATTTGAAAATAATGAGCATTAATTATATATGCTAAATATTAAAATATGTGTAGTATATATTAATAAATATAAATATTTATATTAAAATATCAAATTATACCATCCTTGGTTTAAATATTCAATGAAAAACAGGATATTATGTTTCTTATAATCTAATTATTTCTCCAGAAAGCATAAACAATTTTATCTTTGAAGTATTTTCTATTATAAGCAAATTTAAACAATTCAATACAATTTAAATACTCTCAACTTTTTAATGTTTTATTAACATTCGACTACACGGAATATTATTTTAAAGCTTTCATAGAATAAAACAATATTCAATCCGTAATGATGTAAAAGTCATTTACAGTACCTTTCTCCGATGTTTCCTTAGATCACTTGGCTGTGATTGGCAGTAATAAAAACAACATAAAACAGAATTAATTAAGAATTAACATTCATTTAACTATGTTACAATTTTAAATAGTATCTACAACTTGACTATCATTTTTTTCTTCATTCTGTTATTTTCTAAATAAATATCTTTTAATTACTATAGAAGCACTCCTCGTAGTAGTTAAATTTAGAGAGGGAACTTCTCAGGTAACAGAAGTCAGAGGCTTGTTTCCATAATGGGGCCATGTGTACAGGCATTGGATACGAGGCATGGACCCTGGGAAAGAGAAATTGTGGAATAAGCTAGAGTGACTGAGTCTAACTAGAAGACTGAGCGAGCTAGAAATAAATGAGACTTGATCTTTCCAAGAAAATATTATTGGGAATGAAGATCCAATGCATATATAAGGCGTTTATAAACTCTTGTTTTTGTCCCATCTATGCAAAGCTTTGGGCCTCCTTTGGGCAGATACGCTGTTCCTGAGGGATCTCAGAATTTCTTGCATCCTAAAATCCTTTTCCATACCACAAATGCCAAAAGCTCTGGGACTGCTGCTTTCTTGTCAATGCTCTTTTTTAGAACTTTTAAAAATAGTTGTGTTTTATGATATCAAGTGAACCTTATTCACTTAATGCCTTTGTTCAAATTTCTTATGTAAGGAAAACAATTTCTGTGAAACTATTCCATTATGTTTTGCATTTTTGTTGTTGAGAAATGTGTTGATTTTACCCCACTCAATAGTCTAACTAGATATCACTAACATGTTGTTTTTTGCTTATGGATTTGTTGTGAGGTAAAAGTAAATACGAGTATGCTTTATTATCAGGAGAAAAATACCACAATGTTTGTAAATTATTAAATAATACAAATAATGCAATATCTTTTCAATCTCTAATTTTCTCTCTAAAAATTCTAATCTTCTTCTGAATATTAACCATGAATTATATCCAACAAATTTTTTTCCTACAATATTTTCTTCAGGTTAAAAAAATTTACCCATGTTTTACTATAAAAATAATACAATTGGTAACATAATTATATTAGGTGTTAAAGACTTCCTGGATTTCATTTCTCACTTCTCTGACTTAGATATTAAACACTTTAAATATTTCTTACTCTTCCAAGAATGCCCTAAATATTTTTTCACTACTCTAATTACAGTGTAATAAAATTCATGTTCTACGGATTTATTTATTTATTTGTGACTAACTGTTTAAGAAAATTCATGAAAGCACTGGCATCATTCTCTCTCTCTCTCACACACACAATCACAATCACATCTAAGATTATAAATATATTATTATATATAATATATAATATGTTATTTTATTACCATGAAAATAATAGCACTATCAAGAGTTATGATGCTACCATAAAAGGGTAAAACTGTGTTGTAAAAACGTCAGAAATAAAAGCAGTACAAAAATAATCTAAGTATTCCTGCCTTGAATGCTGACTAAATTTTATTCTGTGGTCCGGGATTCTTACTGTAGCTTTGATACTAAGTTGCTCATTAATACTATGTAGTGTAACTTATATATGCAGAAACTAAGCAAGAGACAATGTCACTTTTAACTAATAAAATGAGATGAATGGTTCCTAAATTTCTAAAATAAGCAGATCACAATGTAGTTCAGCATGTTTGGTTAGTATATCCTAGTACATTGGCTAGAAGTTTGTGCTGTATCCGAGTGGAATCAGTTCTGATTAGCTGGGCATTGTTCTGGTTGGCCATTGTCTATTCTATTTAAAAGCCATTTTTAGCAGAAAGTTTTGGAAATGAGCAGCAAATAGTGGACTCAGCAGCTTAAAGAGGTAACTATTTTCTTTTTTAAAAATATTGTCAATTTTTCTTTTACATAAGTTTTATGGCTTGGAAGTCTCATAATTGTAAGTATGCCAATGTATATTCATTACAAAATCATAACTTTACCTCCATAAACAGTTCATAATCTTTTAATCTTCATCATTGGTGTCATTTCAACATACTATATTTCCAAGTAATGACAGAAACAAAAGACAGGATAGTACATGCTTTTAAATTAGGGAAATTTGAGGAAAAATCCAGCTCCATTTATTAGCTGTTTTGAATATGGGCACTCCATTTATACTCCCAAAACCTCCACTCTCTATTGAGATAATGCCCTACTACCTCCAGTTTTTCCATGAGAATTAAATGTATCATGGTATTCAGTAGTCATCACAATCGTATTTTCCAGAGGTTTTATTTTATATATATGTAAATCAATATATTTTATAATGAAATACATGTATTATATATATATTTTTAGAATGGGCAATCTGATGTTTTTCTCAGTTGCATCCAGGGTACTTCCTAATTTAGGTTTCCATCTTCTAATCCCAAATATAAGGATAAATGAAATAAGGAATTAATGTATATATGTGAAAATGTGAATATAAAGTCTAAGACAAAATTAGAAATTAGTTGCTGTTGCTTTTTATGGCTCTTAACAATACAAACAATGCAAAAAATTTATATTATATATCAAAAAGTTATAAAACTCTATCGTGGTGTATTGAAGCAATTATAATACTAAGTTTTGTTACTTATTATGTTAAAAACACACACACATGGTGTTCAAAGTGATTTCCTCAGTATGCCATCAATAAAAAAGTACTTAGGGGCTTAAGTCATTCAATTTTAAAAAATATTTTATTTTATATTTTTTCAAGAAGGAATCTCACTGTGTTGCCCAGGCTGGAGTGCAGTGTTGCCATGATAACTCACTTCAGTCTCAAATTCCTAGGCTCAAGGGATCCTGCTGCCTCATCAGCATCCTAAGTGGCAGGGACTACAGGTACAGACCACCACCACCACACTCAGTTAATTTATTTTTTTCTTTTTCTTCTTTGTTTTGTTTTGTTTTGAGATGGGGTCTTGCTATGTTTCTTAGGCTAGTCTTGAAATCCTTGCCTCTAGGTAATCCTCCTGCCTCAGCCTCCAAAAGCACTAGGATTATAGCTGCGAGCCACTATGCCCAGCCATTCATTGAAATTTATAATGTGCTATTTAGATCTCTGCTCTATCATTGACTTACTATTTGATCCTAAGAAAGTTACAGCACCTGTGTGGGTTACCATTTCTTCATCTCATAATGGGATTCATAAATGTGCAGATCACATAGGGATGTTGTGAATAAGAAAAGAAATAAACAATAAAATATACAGAAAGTACTTAGACTAGAACAAACACCCAGTTAAGTTTCAGCTAAAGCATCATTAATCTTAACAGGAGGCAAAAGTTCTCTGGACGCAACACCATACCAGTGTCATGACTCCCATCCGATCCATTTCCCTGGCAGGGCTTCGAGGGGTGAGCTTTGGCGTTGAGTGTCCACTGGGGGGAGATGAACTGGCCAGCGATGAAGCTGTAACAGAGGCAGTGATGGAGGTACCTGGGTGGACCCTCGCCAAATTCAGGCCTTCGAGGCTCACACTAGCCACTCTATTCTCAATTTCTTCAGCACGCAACTCTGTAGATTCTTTTTCTTCCTGAATTAGCCTGAAAGATACAGTTTAATTTTGATCCATATATAATTTAATATGGATCCATTATATGCTGCTGTAAAGATCATTGTAATTCACATAATAAATCAATAGAAACTATTCTTGAACATTTTACATCAAATCTAACTTTTTCATCCTTTTCTCTAAACAGTATAACTTTCAATAAATTCCAGGGACTTCCTGGCTTCAATTTTAAAAATTGTTTTCAAATGATACATTTTTCCCGACAACTTTCAGTTTTACCCTCTTTGTATGCTAATACCTGCTAAAACTCTTTAAAAATCTTGAACCTAGTTTATCTCTACCATTAATTCTAATCTTACATTTGACCTCAGGAACCAATAAAAGAGACTTTAGAAACTCAGCCTTGAGATGGCAAAGCATTAGCAATAGCTTAGAAAAAGTGAAAGACTATAATTACGTGTAAATGTGCCTCATAAGATTCAAAGTCACTGACTCTTACTTCCTACCTAATGAAAAAGTTTAAAGATAGTATCCTCAATAAGCCGTCATTCATAATTAGCCAAATAAAACCCTGAGACTTTTGTTAATATTAATAAATACTTAGCCAAGCCTCCTTTAAATAAGTATCAGAAAAGGTAATAATGTGAAAATTTAGTTATACAGATAGCTGATGAATATACAAATAATGAAAAAATAACTTGCAAACAAAACTAGGCCAGGCATGGTGGTTCATGCCTGTAATCCCAGTACTTTGAGAGGCTGAGATGGGCGGTTCACGAGGTCAGGAGTTCAAGACCAGCCTGGTCAATATGGTGAAATCCCGCCTCTACTAAAAATACAAAAATTAGCCAAGCGTGGTAGTGCACGCCTCTAATCCCAGCTACTCCAGAGGCTGAGGCAGGAGACTCTCCCAGGAGGCGGAGTTTGCATTGAGCTGAGATAGTGCCACTGCACTCCAGCCTGTGTGAGACTCTGTCTCAAACAACAACAACAACCACCAAAAAACTAATTAATGTAAATGCTTTTGAGACAGCAAAGCACTAGTCCTTTTTCTTTAAATTGGGAAGTATCTTCAAGAATATTTATAAATTATTTATTACAAAGGCACAAATAAGAAAGAGCTTTAGTTCGGTTGCATAAAAATTCTGTTTGAATCCTGAATCAAATCTATATACATTTTGTATGTTGTTGTAATGAAACTGTGTACCAGTATAGTTTGATAAGTGGGTTGTAAAATTCTCCTGAGCTATTTTGTTCTTAATTACAATGGTTTATTGTGATCCTCTGTTATATAGAACCTTTATCTTCAAGTTTATGATCACTTCAAAATTTTCTTTTTACATATTTAGAATAGAGAATGTAATTTATTTGCTAAATCTATTCAATAGGAAATACTTGTCTGGTCTACGTTTACTGTGGGAAGTTGAGCTACATTTACTTACCTGTTTTTATATGTTCACCAGCTTTTTGATGATTAACTCACTGCTGGTGTCTTCACTAACTATTCTGTAAATCCTTCAGTTTTTAAGTAGTATGTGTTCCCTGGCAAGGCAGAAAGTACTTTGGTAGTCTACTTACCTGTCATTGGAATAAGTGATCTTTGTGATTTTTAACAGGCTGTTTAAAAATCTTACAAATTATGGACTTAAAATCTAATCAAATATGTTTCACAAAGATTCATTTTGGTTAAAACATTATGAGGCACATTTACACTTAATTATAATTTTTCACTTAGAAAAAGAACATGAATTCTGTTACTCTCAAAGTTTATTTTCATGAATGCATTTTTTAACTTCATCCCAAGGTCAGAACCCCCAAAAAAGGTTTAATCAAGTAACACAGTACATAGTAGCATAGCTTAAAATGTATTGGAAAGAAAATACTACCTTCCCCCTCAAAAAATAAAAATGAAAAAAAAAAAGAAGGCATTTTGTACTTTTAAAATACTTAGTAGATAAATGACTCCTAGAATTTTTTTTTTTTTCTGGTGAGATGTAACGTGGTTCTGCTGTACACAGAAATTTTGGTTATTAATTTTAGATACTATATAAATTGTATAAGAGATCCAAACCTAGAGGAACAAGTTGGGTAAGACATTGATTGAAGTTTAATCTAACAGAAAATAGTAGCTAACTATAAAATAACAGATGAATGAACAGTGCTGTGGCAAATGGGTTTGAAGTAATTTGAATCAGTGAGCTGTGAAGCCAGAAAACATGCATTATTTTAAATGGCTAAATTAGTTTATGAAAGAAGAAAAATTCTGGTTGTTATTAGCAGACTACTCTGGTCTAAATCATGATGACTATTTCTTTTAAATGTGATGTAATCACATTTCATGTATTTTTCAAATTTCTTACAAAAAGCAACTATATTAACCTACTGGCCAAGATTGTTACTAGAAATTGCTACCCTAATGTTACAAAAATAAGAGTCACTGAAGAGAAATAGATTGTTATTGAAGGTGTGTTGATCTCTTTGGTGAAAATAAATATCACAAGAATATAGACTTGATTTCAAACTTAATTTGGTAAATTCAACCATTAGCTGAACAGCATCAGAAAGTGTTACTCATTTATTCAGTTAATATTTATGTTCTATTTAGAGTAACCAAATATTTATGGAGAACTTTCTAAATATCAAGCGAAGACCTACAAATAAAGATGAGCAAAGTCAGAAACATTTCTTGCTCCTATAAAAGTTGCAATCTAGTGAAGGTAAAGAACTGATGGACAGTACTACCTTCCTTGAAGAAGTAATGGAGGAGCTGTCCATGGTGAGTAAGGGTAACATGAGTGAAATATTAGGGTAGAAGGGTACGGAATAAGAGGAATGTTCCAGAAAAAAGGGATGACACAACCAAAGAAAGATCATGGAACATCAAGGAACTGGAAAGTAGGTAAGGTAAATGGTTAGAGAGTGGTGAGACAGGTGAGGTATTGTAGACCATATTAAAAAGTTTGGTTTGTATCCTAAGAGCAACTGAATGGCTTGAAAGAGGGGAATTACATAAGCACATTTCTATTTTTAAAAGTCTTCTCTGGCTGCAGTGAGGTTGGATTACATGGAGAACTAGTATACTACAAAGAAACCAGATAGTAATGGTTATTGTCATACAGGTAAAAAACTATTCTTAAGTGCAGTAGGGTGATGATAGGTAGTTTGAATAATAGTAGAAGGAAGCCAATTGATTTAGCTAGAGCCAGAAAGAAAAAAGAAAGGCATTGTTCAAAAGACTTAAAACATGTTCACCAGTTGAAAAAACAAGTTAAGAATGGTTTGTTGATTATCAAAAGAACACAAATATACCTGATACAATTGGGTTCATCACTGGGGTTAGTCAAGGAACTGACAGAAAAAGCTGATGTCAATGGGGTTCAAAAAACCATATATTAAATTAAAATGAAATTATCAGAGTGCCAACATTTCTCAATATTTGAAATGTTAATTTGTCCAATTTCAATTGTAATGAAAACCATCTATTATTAGGGTACTATATAGCAACAGTACATTTTTTTCATATCTAGTATGAAATAATTCATATCACCACATGTTTTATTGCCTTTGAAATGAAAATATAATAAAGATACTTGTTAGGCCATAATATTAAATTATGTCTCACAGATATATTAAGCCTTTTATATTTAAAGAATGCAAATGAATTTGGTCCCCATTTACTCAGAAAATTTTCACACATACATCCCCAAAATGCTAGGGGATTTTTATTGATCATTTGTTATAAACTTCAGCGTTAATATGTGAAAATGTATTTTCATTGATGTAAGAATATTAATCATAAAAAACTCTATAAAAATTGTGTCTCAGTTTAAAATATGGTAGCAGCCCAATTCAAACACAAGTTTTAGGCATCAATGAATACAATTAACCAGCCACAAGCACTAAGATTAACAGTCTGAGGCTGGGTGTGGTAGCTCATGCTTGTAACTCCAACACTTTGGGAGTCCAAGGCAGGAGGATCATTAGAGCCCAGGAGTTCAAGACCACCCTGGGCAACAGAGGGAGACCCTGTCTCTACAAAAAATTTACAAAATTAGACAGGCATGGTGGCACATGCCTATAATCCCAGCTACTTGGAAGGGTAAGGTAGAAGAATTGCTTGAGACTGGGAGGTTGTGGGCTACAGAGAGCCAGATCTGAGTTATGGCACACTAGCCTAGATAGCAGTGCGAAACCCCATTTAAATAAAAAAAATTCTGAATTTTCATGCAATATATTACTATAAAAACGTAATTTTTATTATTAAGAAAAGTAGTAATATGTTTAGTTTATCCCATTTAAAGGCATTAATTTTTTTTTTCTCAAGTGTTCCTGGCAGAGAAGAGGACTCTATCCTGCTTTCAGCATTTGCTTTGCTATGAACTGAATTTTATCTCCCACCTTCAATTCACAGGTTGAAGCTCTAAAGGGCAAAATGACTGTATTTGAAAATAGGATCTTGGGGAGGTAATTGAGATTACATGAAGTCTTCCATAAATCTTTCCTTGGTAAAGGCTCTCAGATCCCTTAAAAGTATTTAAACATTGGAGTCAAATTAATTTGCTGTTCTGAAAAGTTCAAGATCAAGGTTCCAGCAGGGTTTCATTTTTGGGAAAGGCTCTCTCTTCCTGGCTCCAGGGAAATGGAAAGGTGGGTGGGCAGTGCGGGGCAGAAAGAGAGAGAGAGAGAGGTTTAATTCCATAGAATTACTATATTTATGTTCTCTCTCTCTCTCCCCCTGTCTTTCTGCCTCCCATCGCCTGCCTTACTTTCCCTTTCCCTGGAGCCAGGAAGAGAGCCTTTACCAAAAACCGAACCCTGCTGAAACCTTCATCTTGGACTTTCCAGCCTCTAAAACTGTTAACATTAATAAACTGCCAAGAAACAGGCTGTCCCTGATATAAATGGCATAAAATTGACAAAAAGAATGATAAATTAATTTCACTCCAATGTTTAAATATTTTAAGGGATTTGAATGCATATTAACTTGCATACTATTTGGTATCTTTACTGCAGTATGTAATGTATCTGAAGAATGTACGTGATTACCACAAATACTTTCCTTTAAGTAGTAAATTTTAATTTAAAAAGTGCTTTAAAATTCACTGGAGAAAGTTTTGCCTTTAACTTATTCTTTTATATTGTCACTAATGTCATTAGTCTTATATGTTTCATGTATGTTCCTTACAAAGGCTGTCCTAATATTATAAAGGAGATACACAGATATCCTGGGAATCTTCTGAAAATACACATTCTGATTCAGTGCATATGGGGTTAGGTCAGAGATTCTGCAGACCTATTAAGCTCCCAGTTAATGCTAATGCTTCTGATCTAGTATTTATATTTTTAGCACAGTATCCAGGTCTTCTAATTTCTTGAAACCATCAGTACTAATTGAAGTTACCTGATTTCTTTGTTGATGGCATCTAGTTGCTCCTGAAGCATCATGGCTAGAGTCTGGGCATCGGAATGACCACTTGGAGAGAGAAGATCCATTGAGCTAAAAATTGTTTCTCTGTCATCATCATCAATATCAGACATTTCAGTGTCACTTTCAAAAGGGTGGCTGCTTAGTACTCCAATCTGTTGAGTTCTGTTCCACTCATGATCCCCAAGAGATTTCACCTGAATGGTAAATGAAAAATGCAGAATATTTATCACATTGCTCATGTTCAAAGTGCTAATCTCAAAGACAGCAACAACAACAACAGGCATGCTTTTACAACTGACCTTGCAAAAACTGAACCAATTATTAACATTTTAATTTATTTGCTTTCATAAAATAGTTCCTTGACATCGTAAGTAATGTGAGGGATTAATTGTCAGCATAAATATCAAGATTTTAATAGAAATAAAGATGATAAACTTCTATATGATTTATAGTTTGATCATATTCCAAGGTAACAATTACTTTAAAGCATGTATTTGCAATACTGTTCCTTATTTCCAAATATAGCAATCTTTATTTATTTGTACTTAAGCATTCAAGACTTAAAATAATAAGTCTTCCTATATTTCCTTATTATAAGCTCAGACCACAAATATTATCACATAAGAAATTATACAAGAATTCTCTCCCCAACATTTATTTATATCGATTGTAACAAAATATTATTTAAAATATTGCAAAATTATGTACAGGTATACTCCACAGATATTTCAGGGTTAGTTCTAACAATAGAGTCACACAAATTTATTGATTTCCCAATGAACATAAAAGTTATGCTAATTCTCTACTTAAGTCTATTAAGTGTATAATAGTACTATGTCTAAAAATGAACATACCTTCATTAAAAATACTTTATAGCTAAAAAATGCTAATGATCATCTGAGCCTTAATGTTTTTGCTGGTGAAGGGTATTGCTTGATGCTGATGGCTGCTGACTGATAAGGGTAGTGGTTGGTGAAAGTTGGGTGGCTGTGACAATTTTTAAAAATAAGACAACAATGAAGTTTGCCACATTGATTGACTCTTCCTTTCATTAACGATTTCTCTGTAGCATGGAATGCAGTTTGATGGCATTTAACCCACAGTACAACTTCTTTCAAAATTAGAGTTAATCCTCTCACACCCTGCAACTGCCTTATCAATTATGTAATGTAATATTTTGTATCCTTTGTTGTCATTTTAACAATGTTCACCAGGAGTAGATTCCACGTCAAGAAATCATGTTCTGTTCATTCATGAAAAGTAAATCCTCATCTGTTCAAGTTTTATCATGAGATTGCAGCAATTTAGTTGCATTTTCAGGCTCTGCTTCTAATTTTAGTTCTCTTGTTATTTTCACCACATCTGCAGTTACTTTCTCCACAGAAG